GGATTCGAACCCGCGACTCTCAGATTGTGAGTCGAGCGCCTTATCCACCTGGCCATGCCGGGCCCGTTCCTTCGTGAATGCCCTAGCATTTACTAGATTGGGGGTAGTTTAATTAAGTTATTGTTAATTGTAATCGGTTTAATGTAAGTGACTATTGTTCGGGACGAACAATACTAAGGAAGGGGCACTGTTGTGACAACGCAGGTCACGTGACGCTAGTAACACGTCATTGACTCTAGAAATATCCTGTTCCTTCATGAATGCTCCAGCGTTTACTAGATATGTGTTAGTCTTGTATATATAAGAAGGTCACAACGTGACGGAACAATGTGTAATTGAACTGAGTATTGTTGAATCGAGCACGCGAAGCGTTCGTTGTGAATTACAGCGTTTGTTATAGCGCGACTGTTGAAATTAAGTGTATCGCAAAGTTGTATTCAGAAAGAATAAACCAGTTTTATTTAAGAAAGGACTTGTATCGGTAAAGTTTCTTCGGAAAGAATTTTTACGGAAAATTAATTAACGACCAGAGATGTAAAAGTATTACAGAGGTGCGACATAGGTCTTCTTTTACAGACTCAGCCGCATATTCAATTTGAAGAAACTTTTTAGAAAACGATGCTTTTCCCTCTTCTGTACATTTGAGAGGCGAGTTTAACAGACTTAGCCAAACTTTCGATTTTGCCAAACAACTTGCACCATGTAACTTATTTCTGTATTTTTCGATAATATTGTAACACTGCTCGTTCCTCTTCTCCAAACGGTGAGAAATATTACTGAAAATTTATAAAAATTTATAATTTATAAAATTTTATTAGGGCAGAACCACTTTTTGAGGCGGTAACTATGTGAGATTAACTTCTTTTCCTTCTGGCAGATTCGTCACAAATAATACTCGTCGTGTGTTTTGTCTCAGCCTCTTGTAAGAAACGAAAATTCCAATGGCTCTCTAATGCCACTTGACTTACGCTAACTTTGCTAATGATCAAACGTGTCTTTCTTTTTCAGTGTGCGGCTCACTTTGTTGTGATGCAGAATGTCGCTAGGGTACTAAATATATTACTAGTACTAATAAATGGCGTGGTTGTTTGTGAATGCTATTTTAAGTACTACTACAATGGCACTGCTACTTCATGGTTGTAAATGAAGTTGTATGATTTTATGTACAATATAGAAAGAAAACAGATGGAAATAAAGCTCGTAACATTTAGATATAACAGTTTAATGGTGGTAATACTGACTGGTACGGTGGTACTCGCTGGTAGTACTACCCTTCTTTGACTGGTACTGTGGTAGTGGTATACGAAACAAGCACATTTCATTTCCTGTATTATATGCTATATTGCTGTAGCTTGTGAAGCTCATGAAACTAATTTTTAATTAAAGCTGAGAAGGTCGACAGAACGTACAATGCATTTCTTGGTATATTTTGGATAAAATTATGAAGTCATGTTATTGTTAATATGCTACTTATCAGCCTTGGTAGTAATAGTATTCATGGATGACTGAAGTGGACGTCCAGGTAATTGTTAATGTTATTGTTAACAGGACTATTGTATGATTATACTTATGCCAGACTAAAACTAGAAATAAGACGATATCAGAGAAACCTAGTATTTTCACTTGTATTTTTATTTTTAGAATAAATATTCTTTAAACCTTCTAAAAACTAGTTATTCAAAATGAAGTATGGAATTGAAGTATGTAAATTGTAACGTTTATGGCTGAAAAGTTTGTGAATAATAATATCAAGGATACCTAACTGCTGAATCAGTGCATTCTAATTATTATAAGTTTGTTTTATTGTGTATTTATTTAGAATTATGCACTTCTAATTAGAAATCAGAAAATGTTATAATATTCTCAAAATATTGATAAAATAAGAACTCAACCATTTACTGAGTTAACTTGGTGAAACATCATGTTATTTCTTTCCCATTTTCTGATTTCTAAATTTTAGTTTTCAGTAAAATACATAGAAATTCCAGTTAGTATATTGTGTAAAATTAGCATCATTAATTTGAAAGCACTTTCTAGTTTCTATATGACCTCTAGAGTTAAGGTATTTTACTTTTTGATCACAGGTTTTGAAATAAGTTGGTGTGAGGTAGCTGAATGACATAAATGTTACACTTGTAATAATTCTAGAAAATAATTTTTTACTGAGTGTGGTATTTCGGTATAGCAGGGAACAGTAAGGGAAACATTCTGTAATAAGTGTTTTTATTCCATGCTCCATTTTCCAAGAGCAGAAATATTAACATATACATGAACAATATAAACCAAATGATTTGGTTGGTGACATATTTCTACAAGAAAAAGAAAAAATATAATTGTGAAAAAATGCCTTACCAAATAGTGTTACCTACTAAAAGATGAGATTAATATTGTCAACTTTCCAGGAACATCATAATTGTTAACACATTATTATTTCTAGAAAATACAGTTTTGTAAACTTTATTGTTATATTTCATCATTGGTTTTGTATAGAGATGAGACATAAGGTAATGTGAAAATATACTGTATAACAATTTGGTATTCTTTGTAAAATGGATTTTTAGCAGAGCAGCCAGCTGAGCCTAATAACTGGAAGTTTAGAGAATACCAAATTATGTATTACAGTTATCTTTCCAATCTAATTAGATTTATGAAACACTAAAACCATGTCTGCTCAGGGAAATGGGACACATGCTTAATTGGAAATACATTTCAAGCATGTAACATTAGATAAAAAATAAAATAGAGAAAAACCAGCAATTCATTTTACTAGTAGAAAACAGACACCATTAAATTAACAAGTTAACAACTGATGCCATTTAATTGACAAGTTGACAGGAAATTTATGGAGTCTAGGGTGTACTATCAAGATATTGATAAATATACCACATTCAAGGAGGCATTAGCAAAATAATGAAATCAAAACACTAAACTTGAGCCCTACAAGTGGGGGTGTACACCAGAAAACATATTCAGGTTGGAGGTTGAGTGGCCTGGATTCTAGGCACACCAGAGATACACATAAGAATGCAACAAACCTTAACAAAACTGAAAAAAGATATATATAAGTTTGATAGTGTGTGATAATGCTGATATGATGCCTTAGTGGTATGTGAGAAATAGCCAATTGAAAACTAGGAATCACATGCCATAGTTACAGTTTTGGTTCCTTTTAGCCAAGAAACACATGTGGTTACAGTGTTTATTCCTCCTAGAACGATGCCCACACCATGTTTTTTAAGTATAAAAAGTCATGCTTTTGAGTTCTTCTATTCTTTAACAAATTTTTTGAGTCTTCAGAAGATGTTAGCCTTAGAATCTGTGGAGAACCTCCACCACTCAAACTCCATGTAAATTTAAATGTCCTCTCCTTTGTCTAATAATGTATCTAGTGCAAAATATATCATGACAGAGGGTTTAGTAAGAGTTAAGCTATTTAATGATTGGCTGGGTATCCCATAGATGTTAATAAGTTCACTATTATTAGATAAATTGTTAATGGGGTACTCAAATGTTGGAGAGAACAATATTGATGTAGATTCTGTGAATTTGTTCAGTTAAATATATGTTTTTGTGTTACTTAGTCTTCAAATTGTTTTTTATTCTTTATGTAAACTTCCTTGAGTTGGTGACTTGTGAGCCTTACCCATGACTGCTTATGATAAAATATCCTGGTAATGAATAAATTTATTTATAACAAGTGTAGGTTAAACCCAACAGCTAAAGTCAATATTTGTGGTTTTTTTACATGTATGGTAGTTTCCCTAATTACTGATGTGATTTTGAAAAAAAAAAAGTAAATTTTATCACCACAGTGATAACATAATGAAGTTATTAAAAGTTATCGCAATAACTTCCAATTTTTTGATGTAACAGCGTAATTTTTTGATAATTGTCATAGTGACTTCCAAATTTTTTATGGTTATCAAAATAATGTAAATTTAACCTTCAAATCACTCACTTTATCTTGTGATGTATAAATTTGGTAATTTCGTGGTTACTATAGGTGAGAGTCCAAATATTGCATCATTTTAAATAATTTTATGTGTTTGTTTGTTATAATACCTAGTGTAAAGAACTTACAAAAGTAATGGGGTGAAATCATTCATTATGTATAACACATTTGAGAGCTCAGCAGTAATTTAGGGGATTATTTGCAGTGTTGGTGGTATTTTTGTTAAATATGTTTATGTGAGTGATTATGTTATTAAGACATGGACTCACAAGCTGTATGGGGCATAAACAGTTTTTGGGTTAAAAAGAAACATTTCATGATATTTAGTATTATTTTGTGCTTTTAAAATTCCATGTTCTATACGGTTGAGGATTTTAAGTTTATACAACCATTATACTTTAGTGACAAAGTTCTTAATACATAAATATTTTATCAGTGTGATATTTTTAATAATGAAGAATATGTATTTGATTTTTATTACATTTTGTAAGCTATTGTATGCTAAGCAGGGTAATTAGTGGAATTTGCTAATTCATTGATCATTGCCTCATTAATTGATTACATTCAACTAATCAATTATTTTCACATAACATGAAAATAGTTGAAATAATAGAAAATCCTAACATTCAGAAAAGTTACTTATCTCTCTGCACCACTAAGTGCTGTTACTTTGCAGGCAACTGCCATGGAATTTCCTGTGCTTGCCACAAGCTTTGAACAAACTTCCACCCCTACATGTGTTTACCTGTACTGTGCCAGCCTATGATGTGATCATCATAATGTTCTAGTCCTCCATTGATAGAAGGGTGATGCAAACTCCATGTGCAGTAATCCTCAGGAGCACTAGCAAATGATCATAGGCTCATCTTTTCTTGGCACTGCCTGTCTTCACACATGTTTCTCCCTGTATTTTTTTAGTTTCTGATCTCTTTGATATACATACATTATTTTTGAAGTACTACATTACTTTTGTCTTTGTTGCTCTCACATGATTGCAACTTTTTCTCTAGCCACCACGTTTCATCTACTTCAAACAATTGCATTTAACAAACAAAAAATTCCAGAGGCCCATTCCTTCTTCTTCAGCCATTTTCTCCAGCTATGTCAAGAGTGACCAAAGGCACCTTATTTATTCATAGAGCTGACGTTTAGTAGGTACCTTTAGCACAATTTGTTTAACAAATGCCTTTCATTTGATTAGTCTTGGATATCAATCTGTGGCATGGTATTATTATTATAGTGGAAATATTAAATTACTACAATTTTATAGGGCTATGAAGAACCATGGTATGACAATGTGTTCACTGCTGATGTTTCTGCTATCATTCATCAAGTGATAGGTTTCCTTCTGCATACTTATTCACCTGTTAAGGTTCCTTATCATTCTGTTGAGCATGCCTCACCTGGAAATGATTTTGGCCAGCTTTTTCATTTCTAGATTACTGGCTCCTCTCTCTGATAAAAAGCAAGAATTATTTTTTTGTTTCCTCATAACTCAAGTATATGACTTTCCATATTTTTAAGTGTATATCATAATAAATCATGGATTGCTTTACCCTGTGTGCCTTCTTCTGTTCTACCTCCATGTTAGTCATCATCTTTCTTGCCCTCCTCATCTTCGTGACCTATTTGGTATAGCCTAAGGTTATGAACCTTCTATATTGTTTGTACCTCAATCTCTTGTGTTCTGTATTTCTGCTTGGGATATATCTCTTTCTTTCTTGCAATCTGCTCTCATTTTCTTTATCTTTACTCATTTGATATATCTCCACCCTTCACCTCCTTATTGTGGTTTTTTTGTCGTGACCCAAAATGTTTGGATGTGGTCAACATTTCTTTCCCTATTGCCTGTATTTTGTCTTGATTTCTCTAATCTTGTGGTCTCTGCATTCAGGATGATTTTTTTTTCAGACGTCTGTCTCCCTTCCTCTTCTCTCCTTCACCTAAGTCTTGCCCCCTTTCTCACTGCAGGTGTTTCTAAAATCCTTAGCTTCTCAGGCCGAGCCTGCTTACCACCAATGTTCCTTTAATTCCCTCATTTCTGGATTTACTAGGCCATGGATATATCTGTTGACTACCCTACCTTGGGAGCCCTGTGAGGCTTACCCTTTTCTTGTTCTTTGTCTTATCACTTCTAATTGCTATTCTCACTCCCACTGGGTGAACTATTGAATTAATTTGTGGTAATTCTTCCTCGGAGCCAATTCTTGGTTTTGGTACCTTTAGTGCCAGTCCCCCTCTTCATGTCTGTTGTTTCCCTTCACTAGCTACCATTGGGTTGTGCAACTTCTTCTTTCGGTCTGTCCCTACTTTTTATTCTCTACCTCCTCTCTTTTCTCATCCTTTCATCTATCCTTTTCTCTCTTATCCTCTGCATTTTCAACATCTTCCTGAGAGTTTTCTTGCTTCTCATACTGGGTGAACTTAACTATTTCCTTTGAATATGAATGCCATGGAGGTCTAGGTATTGTAGACTCTTCATTCTCTTTCTCTTCCTGCATAAAGGGTTCTCACATTTGGAGTTTGATTTTTCTCTACATATGAATCCCCTTCTATGGGCTCTGAAGGATCTGTAGCACATGTTCTGCAATCCCTTTTCTGCCCTTCTATTTATCCCCCCCCCCTGTTTTTTATGGAGTCTTGATTGCTCCAACATGACCTGGGCTATTCTATCCAACCCCCTACCCCCATTCTGCATCTTTATATTGATCTCTTTCCAAGGGGGGCAGTTCTTAATGTCTCCACCCTCACTCAGTTCTGGTCTCTGGTGAAGCAATTTCTGCTTATCAACATTCTGGAGATTCCTACAGCCTTTCTGGCTTGTCAAAACCTTTGGTTGCAATTTTTGTATCATTTTGACACTTCTATGGTCATTTCTTACATCACCCATCAGGGAGGCACCCACTTTCAATATGCCTTACCTGTTTTCTTTTGTTCTAGCTCCATCTGTTTCAACAACTGTCAATTACCAAATAATATTACCTGTAGCTTTCTTCTCTTGCCTGGTACTCGTTCTAATTTCTTGTGGTAATTTTTGTTCAGACATTTATGCATTGCCTCCTTATCATAAGAAAGTGTTGCCTTGTTTCTTGACATTTCCTTTCTTTCAAAGACTTGGACTGCCTGGGAGGGTGACTATTTCTTTTTCTCCCATCTCTCTTTCTTCTATTTTCTCATTATGTGATCCTTCCATTTCTGTTTGTCTGTTATGTCTAGTTAAGGTTGTCATTTTCAGACTACCCTCCTTTCATGGACACTGCCAATGAATGTTTTTCCCATGTCTTACTTCTTCATCTAGGGACTTATCCCCTTTTCACTTTAAATGGTTTGATTTATCAGCTTATTTGTTTGTTATATTATTTTTTGAATGAGTCACATCGACCATTTTCTAATATCACCTTCTTTCAGATTAGGCATAACACAATCTCGTCTTCTTTTGATGCTGACTTTTGGTAGAGATCTTGGAGGCTGATACATGGATGTCAACACATTCTTCTTCCATTAGGTACTTCAATGAGCAGATTCACGAGTTTCCCTCAGGTTGCCATTCTGCTTAATCCAGAGGCTCTAGTGTGGTGAGTTTTGCCTGTTGATTTTTTTTTTCAACTTTGCTGAACTGGTTTGATCTCCATGTCTCTCACACACTTATTGATACTACCTTGTGTGTATTATTCCCTTTATACACATTCAACAACAACAACAAAAAAGAAGGTAGATGCAAAACACACACGCACAAACTACAAAAACAAAGCTGTTCTACTAAGCTCTACATTCATTATGTTTGATGTCATTGGATCTTGATGAGTAGCCAATATTGCCTCACAAGGGAATACTTACCCAAAATACACATTGAGTGAGGGAGTATGATAGTGTTAAACTCATCCACTGTTGAGATGAGGTTTTCTGAAAGATTGCTTTGATAGTTTACCTATGGAATTGATTTGGCCTTTTTTTACACCTTTGAAAAAAACAACAACATTGGGTGTACTCCTGCCTTTAGATCTGGCTTCCAGTTACTTACTTTAGTCATAATAGGATGGACCCAATTCCAGACTGTTGTGCCTGATGTCAGTGGTCATATACATCCTCTGGTGTTATCCTCTATGAGTATCCTCCCCTATTTTTCTAGTGGAGTGTGGTGGAACCCTTACTTCCCCAGTCCTAAGATGCTGGAGATGTCAATATGGTGTGTTTCCTATAGAAGTGGTTCCTTCTTCCTGGTAAGAGAATGGTTGGGCTTACCCCTTGATTTACAATTAAGGTTGGGGCATTACCTGGATAAGTAGTACAGGATATCTTATTATAATATCTCCCAAGCAGTTCCCAGTGGATATGTCCAGTAGGATGTGACTTGGATTTGCCTTAGGATGTAAGTTAGGGCTCCTCCTTCCTCCATTGTTGCTATAGTATGTATCTCATATATGTGTTTGACTACGAAAGAGTGGCCTAAAGCCCTAGCCATAACACATTACACCTTCTAATCGACACTGGATTTTCCTTTGCTCTGCTATCTCAGTACAAAAAAAATTATTGAGCAAAGACTACTCCCTGCTTGTGTGCTGCTCCAATAGGTGACCTCTGATCACACCTAATGAGCTTTCCTTTTTTGTTGCTTTTTCAGAAAGGAGCTCATTTTTGTAAATGATAAACACTGGCCTCTCCACCATCTTAAGTGTGGGATTCTAGCCCATAGTTGTGCAGAGAGGATAGTAATGTTTCTGAAGTTAAAATTTCCCTCACTTGAAAAATTTATTTCAAATAGATACTTATTTCACTGCATTACTTCTTACCCTTTCTCTATACTTCTGGTGCATTTTGTTTGCTTTGACAAGAATGAGCCTATGATTATGTGCTTGACTAATGGGGATTACTGTGCATAGGGGTTGTATTCTCCTGCTATTGGTGGAGGGCTACAACAGTATGACAGTTACATCATTGGTTGGTACATTACACGTAGTCGTGCATAGGTGTAGGAATTTGTTCAAGGTTTGTGGCATGTACAGGATGCATACAAGGTAATAGTTCTCAGCAGTGTTGGTTGATAAATGTCTATCTGTAATACATTTTGAGATAAGAAAATTGTTAACATTGGTTACACTGATTTCAACATCTTTTTGAGTCCTGGCACTAATTGTTTAAATTCAACAACCTTAAATTAATGGAAAATACAAGGAATGACCAAATAACTGAAAACAGCAATAACTCGAAACACTAATTTGATTAATTTATTATTTTCATGACATTAATTGATTTAATCATAATTTTGATTTATTGATTATTGTCATGTAAAGTAATTGATTAATGAAAGTGACAAATAATGTAATGAAAATAATCAACTAGTGTTTCCAGTTATTACTATTTTCAGTTATTCCATCTACCCAGTAATCAAAATTATGATTAAATAAATTGTCACAAAAATAATCAACTCATTGGAATTAGTATTTCTGACTATTACTGTTTTAATTATTTCAATTGTTCAAGTAATCAGAATATTATCATTATGATTTATCATTATTTTTTGATTAATTATAGTTTGTTCAGATTAATCAGTTAGTATCATCACTCACCAAAATTAATCATTTAATCAAAATTATGGTTTTCAACTATTATCTTTTTCATTAAACCAACCATCCAAGTAATTGAAATATTGCCATTTTGCTTCTTGTTAAATGCAAAGCTAGACAATGTGTTATCTGTACTTTGCCCACCATGAGTATCAAAGTATGATTTGTAGCATTATGAGTTTCTTTTTATCTATATCATGAGAATAATCAGTTAGTTTTGTGTAATAAGCCCAGTGATTAATCAATCAACAAACTCCACTAATTACCCAGGTTTGATTTTGGACCTCAAGACTTTTCATCTTTTTATTTCGGAAATTACCATGATTGTTCTACACTATGAATAGTGAAACTAATCTTCTTTCACTGCTTAGAAATAAACAGTTTTCAGTCTACAGTTATAAAGTATTTATTGTATACAGTTAGTGACACTTTTACTGGAAAATATAATTTCATTTTTTTATATTTAAACCAAATTATCTCTTTGATAGCTAGGACTTCATTTTTTCATGCATTGAATATAGTGATATATAGTTAAGTTTGTATTTTCTTTATTTTACAGGTTTTTTTATGTAGTTGGGGTTCAAAGAAGAAACTAAAAAACATCACCAAGAGCCTTTTATATCTGCATGCTTTGTCAATGAATTGTAACAAAATATGGTGCTTTTGGCAAAAAAAGGAGTGAAACTACTATGAATTTTATTTGCATGTAGCTTTAGTATTTCTTTTTCAAGATTTTAGTGCAATACTTAACTGAGTAAAGATGGCTTGTCTCCAGAGTCCTAACGGTTGTCAAGATAGTGTTGAAAATTATCAGAAAATGGAAAGTACTGAAATGACCAATGGGTGTAATGGAGTTTCTTGTACACAAAGTGATGCTACCTCATCAGAAACATCTGATGCTACATCCTTGGATGGTGACCTCAGGTTTACAGTGCTTGACTGTGTATTTCTTTTATGGTGTCTAGGAACATTTTTGTTTGACATTGGTAGTGATTTGGCAATGTGTTTCTTGCATTACCATTATGAGAACATATGGTATTTTGGATTAACTTTTACCTTTGTTATTGTACCTGCTTTAACAATGACAGGCTTCAGTCTTCGTTGGTATTTGATGGATGAAAACCAAGCATTGACATCCGTGTCTCGTGTCCAATGGTTTGTTCGAGTTGTTTTTCTTATTCTGCAGTTGGCACCAGCATTAAGGTAATGTTTTGACACTATAAGCAAAAGAAATAATATAAAAGTATAAATTTCGAGACTGAATCATTGTGATTTCAAGTTTAATTTACCATGCATCTACAAATATAGAACAATAAGAAAGCTAATTTTTAAACTAAGTAATGGTAAAAGATTTTCAAAAATTATTTAATTTACAGGTTTTAGAAGTGTTTTGTTTGAGCTATATTAAAATGAAAAAAGAATATGTTTTAATATAAAGAATTTTAGTTATTCTTTGAAAGTATGTATAGACGGCATGTTTAATGTATGGACTGCATTTTTTTTTTGTGGACTTAGTCCTTTCATTTTTTTATTCTGAATCCTTCAGATGAGATGGTCTGATAAATAGATTTTCTTAAAACCAAATGAAATGGCAGAACTTAGTCTGTTGAGGATATTATTTGACAAGTACTGAAATGATTAGGCTATTACTCAAAATTGATTGTAAGCTGGAGCATATTTTCCTATGAATCATCACACAGCTTAAAACTAAATTTAAATTCTTGATTTAAATCATTAGAACTGAGAAAATGAGCCAATGAAAAAATTATTTTTCAGTGGAATGTATGGGAAATTAATTTGATTCAGATGTTTGCAGCTCTTAGGAGCTTGAATAATCTGCATATGGGTCGTATGTTTGAATGTTAAATTGAAAGGGTTTGAAATAATAAGGGTCATAAGTTTAAGCTTTGGAGGACCATAATTGGATTTGTTCGTTATCAGCATTATATCTTAGTTAGAATTATAGGTTTTTGGAACATATTTCCTCTTTCTGCTGTGTACATGCTATTTGTTTGTTTCTGAACCTATCTTTTTATAGATAAATGGATAAATTTTGCATTTCTGATTGTAAGTGACTTCAATGGGTCAAATGGATTTCTTTCATTTTCATATCTGCGTATTAACTAGAGCTGATTTGATTTAAATGTTTAAAATTAACCCTCTCTCTTAACAGACAGGTCAAAGGGAGCACAACACAAAGTCTTAGAGTTATTTTCAAAATGTAATTAAAAAACTTTACTATCATTCTACATCAATAAAGTTGACATTACAGTGTAGTTTATAATTCAAACCTTAACATTATTATATGAAATATTTTCTTAATTTGAAAGAAAGTATTTAAAATAAATGTCCTCTTGTCTTATTGCTCCGTTCATATTTTATTATGCCTACCATACAACATCTATAGTGGTTAACTAATTAGAAACTCAAACTTCAGACATTAACTGGCTAGAATATAAAATAAGAACCTCCAACCTTTTTGATTTGCTGAGATATCAATATATTTTGCAAACATATGAGGGTAGCCCCACTCACAACTCCATTATTTTAAAACCTTTTGCTTACTTCCTTCTTTTAAGTACATGTTTTCGAGATTCTGCAAGGTTTAGAAGAGAATGTATGATATTTTTACTAGAGTGCAAACAGCTCAAGAATGCAGTGAGTAATGAAAATCCATTTCTTATTTATATTTTTTTGATGTATTGTTACACATACTTTTGAAAAATAGTAATTCAAATATAAAAATTATAATTCTTCAGTTTATTGTAACAAAACTTTAATAAGATTAAGCATCTTAATTTACACAAGGTTGCCTTGGGTCCAAATATGATACAGGTCACATGCTGTTTATGTTAGCTCTATGGGAAGCAGCTTATGAGCTCTTGCTGTGATTTGTTGCTATGGGTTAAGGGTTTCTGTTTTAGTGATACAAAGAATAGTAATAAAACCGTAAAATAAAATGGACGTGCAATTGTTAACAGTTCCACCCTATGCATAGGAGTGGGTCAAGATGAACATCATGACCCTCGGAGAAAGTTACATTCAAAATGTAATTAAAAAATATCATTAAACTTCTCATACAGTACATTACCTCTTCTCACATAACTAGCTATTCCCATTCAGTGCTGCCCTCTATATGAAAATTTTTTTTTCGCATGCCACAAGCTTTGAGTTCCCATATACCTTAAAACTGATTGATTCAAATACGTCTAGCATGCAAATCATCATGTGACAACCCTCCAGCAATATGAGTGCAACACACACACACACACACACACACTCCTGATTTGATTCTATTGAACTATAACTTCTCGTTTGGCAGTACTTGTGTCAAAAGTTTTTTTCAGTTATTATTTTGAAGTGGATTTTGTTTTTCTTCAACAGTTAATGACTTTTCAGGTAACTAATTTGCCCAGTTCAATTTTTTTTTTTTCATCAAACACACGGTTTTCAGTTTTACACAATGAATTCTGAAGTTCAAGTTACCACTTCAGATATCATACCTTCTACTAGTACACACAGGCTACAAATGGAGGTGACTCATCTTTGGATTTATTGGCTATCATCTGTCATGAGATTGATCATTATGTGAGCCAACCTGCATGCCTCGGATCAGTTTGCCTTGGCCTACCATCAGGCTGAATGTCTGTTTCCTGACTTTCAACAGTTAGAATCAATTTTGCCCATGTAAGGGGTAGACCCTGATCATCCTGTTCCTTTATCCCATGCCCAATTTCCTGCCTTCATCTTACCCTATCAACTCTTCTGTGGTACTTGTCTACGATCCACCTCCTTTCCAAGACAATCCACATAGATCCCGAGTGTTTTTCGAGAGATTGCCTCTCTTTGGTTGCCAGTATGTTGTCACATTTGTCTTCTTTGGCTTTAGCCATACACATGTGGTTTCTCTGTTGTTGGGGTTTCATGGGGAGGGATGCAGCCTTGTCCCACATTTGTTACTGCCTCCTTATCTCCAGGACTTATGTATGGCCCTTTTTCTTCAGCGGTATGTTTTTAGTAATATTCCTGATACTTTGGAATTTTGTGTGGAATTGGTATGACAGCACACTACCCTTTCTTCTTTGGTGGATCATTTGTCACATTCTGAGTCTAGATATGCCCCTATTACTGTTTCCCATCCAACTCCTTCTCAACCTTTATTTGTTCTTCCATCCAGGGGTTCCTCAACTCGTTTTATTCGAAGGAGATGGACACGTTACCAACAATACCGGTGACTACCTGGTGGATTCTGGTACAGTGGGGACTCGCTTGTCTGATTTTGTTCCCCTTTGACAACCTATTGCCACAGATCTGTGGGTTATTTGGGTTTTAACCGAGGGACTTGTCATATAATTTCTTCCCCTCTGCCATTATCTCAGATATCAATTTCATTTTCATTGCCTTGGGATCCTACCACCATTCAGCATCTGTCTGAGGTGGTACAAGATCTTCTCTATCAGCAGGCCATCGAACCTGTCAGTCATTCTCCTCCAAGTTTTTATTCTAGTCTGTTTGTAGTACTCAAAAAAATCGGAGACTGGTGGCCTGTGATCGATTTGTCTCACCTTAATTAATTTTTGGTTCTATCCCAATTTACCATGGAGTCTTTTCTCACCCCCAGATGGGCTTTTTCTCTGGGTTTGTGGGTGACCAAGGTGGATGTCGTGAATGCTTATCTGCATATCCTGATATCTCATCAGTCGAGACACTGTCTTTGATTCGTTCATCATGGGGTAGTTTATCAATTATGTGCCTTACCCTTCGGGCATGCTTTGGCCTCATATGTCTTTTGTTGCATAGTCAAGGCATTCCCCCCACATTTACATCAAGGGTCGCACTTCCATCATTACATAGATGACTGGCTTCTATTAGCTCGTACTACACACTCATTGGCTGTCCTGGAGGCAGCTTATGTGGACTGGTTAATCAAATTGGAGAAATCATTCCTTATATCTACCCAATATCTTGACTATTTGGGTGTTTTTTTTCAACACTCATCTTAGTTGGGCTCAATCTCCTCCTCCTCGACTTCATCTGATGGAGCTTACAGTTCTCCACGTCCTTACTGTTCACTCTCTTACAGCTCACAAAGTACTATAGATTTTGGGGATGTGGTCTTCCATGGAAGACCTTATCCCTTTGGGTCAAGCATGTATGCAGTTTCTTCAGTGGACTCTGCATGACCAATGGAAGCTTGCATGGTATCCATTGGAGGCTTCTATTTCCCTTCCTCCTTCCCTTATAGATGATCTTCATTGGTGGTTGGACAAGGCTCACATGTCGGCAGGTGTTCCGCTTCATCCCCCTTCACAGACACTTCCCTACAGGGCTGTGGGACATGAGTCGATCAGCAGGAAGCTTCAGGTCAGTGGTCTCAGACTGAAAGATCTTACCATATCAATATCCTGGAGCTTCTGACTGTAAGTCGTGCCTCGGATCATTTTCTTCATCTTGCCAGGAATTGTTTGATCATGATCCATTCCAAAAATTTACAATGATGGCTTATCTCAATGACCAAGTGGCACCCATTCTCGTTTCCTTTGTGGTCAGACCTAGGATCTTCTTTTTTTGGGGCCCAAAAGCTTGGTATTCATAAGACCAAAACAGAGATAATTTGGTATTGAGAGATGTAGCAAACACATCCAGGTGTGGAGTACCTCACTGAAGGCATAGCAACTGGAAAACAAGAGTATCGAGAGACCACTCCATCGGATAAGTTTTGTCTGGACAGTAAAGCCGATCTGTAACAAGATTGAATACATTTGGATCATGACATGCAATGACTGGTTCCTCATCCTCTTGTTCTGGCTGTTGATGCTTTCAGTCAAAATTGGACCAACAAATACCTGTATGTTTATCCTCCCATCCATGATACTCCATGTCAAGTCCTTTTGATTGCTCCTTGCTGGCTGGCACAACCTTGGTTCCTGTGGCTGCTCCAGCTCCAGTGTGCCCCTCCATTACCTCTTCCTCTTACACCATCCTTTCTACGTCAACCTTGGTACCGGTGTTTCATCCAACCCTTCCGATCCTTCATCTTCATGCTTGGTTTTTATCTGGTCCCTGGCGAGGAGATCTGGTTTGTTCTGGAAGATAGCTTATTTTTTAGCTTGTTCCATCTAGGGAAGTTTATCAACATAAGTGGAATGTTTTCCACTGTTTTTTTTGGGTCAAGGGTTTCACCTGCTAGACCCATGGTTCCTCATATTAGGGATTTCCTCACTTGGCTCTTTGATCAGGGGTCTTCTGTCTCCTCAATCGTGGATTATTGAGCTGCATTTTTTCCCAGTACTGTAAAGTTTTTACCTCTCCTACTCTTTCCCTCTTGTTGCATTCCTTTTAGATTAGTCATCCACCTCAGCATGCTGTCCTTCCGGATTGGGATGTTAATGTGGTTTATCACTGCCTCACTTTGCTTCGGTTTAAATTACTGTCCTCGTGCTTGATTTTCCTCTTATCCATTAAGACTTATTTCCTTCTCCTCTTAGCCTATGGACATCGTAGGTTGGATTTATTTGCCATCAACATTTCACATACTCTATATCATTCCACATGTATAACTTCTTTATCTGGATCAGTCTTTCCTCCCCAAAATTTCAGCAACTCAATAGGTTAATTACTCCTTCTCACCAATTTCCCTTCCTTCCATTTCCCACCTTTATCTTCAGTTGGGTCTTGCAGTTTTCTTGGCACTTGCATCTTGTAGAAGCTTTAAATTTTACTGTTCTTTTTCAAATGTACATTGTAAACCTGAATTGCTAGTTTTTCCTAAGATTAAATTTGTTAATTTTCTAGCACAAAAATGGCTATTTATTGGTTCAGGTTAAAAATATTTTGTAAGTTATTTTTATACTTTTTTAATACTTTTCTGTCAGATAAAAAATTAGAATATTTATTTCGTGTGTATAGTTTATTAGATGCTGTAATTGTGCTTATATTACTTAGAATTATCCCCTTTAACATGCTCTTAGATATATTGAAACTCTGTGGTATGGATTCAAGGTGCGAGCTTCATCGAGAAAAGAAGCTTTGAAAGAAGTAAGAGCTTATTACTGTAAAATGGTTTATGAAAATTCAAATACATCCATGTTACGATTGTTTGAATGCTACATGGAATCTGCTCCACAACTGGTGCTACAGTTGTTCATTCAGGCTAAGAGTTCAGACCCTCTTCAGTTGGATTGGAAAAGTAAGCTTGTATTACCAGTATGTTAAGTCTTGGTTAGCTTTTATCATCATAAGTGCTTTATTTATTTACAAAATTTATGTATATTTTGAAAGTTGGTTATGACATTCAGGATATAGATCCACTCTTACAGTTTATGAGTGATATCATTGTACCAGTTGTTTGAACTTTTAAAGAAAAAGTCACATTAGTCGAAATTTCAAAAACACTAGATAATTGGATTATAGGAAGGCTAGGAGAGAGGAAGTAAAAAGTGATTAAAGCAGTGAAGTTGAAATGGACCATTGTTATTAGCGGTGTTCTTCAGGGATCAGTGATTGGGCATTTATGTTTTCTTATTTATATTAATGGGCCGAATTAGTAAAGTTTGGTAATGACGGTAATCTGTTGGGTATTTCTAATTGTCTTGAAGGTATTCAGGTACTACAGAATGACTTGAATCAGTTTTTAAGTTTGACAAATAGATGGAAAATTGTATCTTAATAATTTGGGTCACAATTTAATATAGATGAGAAGACATTGAAGAAAAGGATATTGGCATAATTGTAGGTATGTCGGGAAAGTCATAGAAGCAGTGCTCTATTTGTAACAACAAAATGAATATAATTTTATGATGTATTCAAAGACATTGACTACAAGTTGATTGAGGTAATAATCTCTACAAATCACTAGTTAGGCCTCACTTGGAATAAAGTGTGCAGCTTTGGTTTTGTTTTTCTTTTCTAAGAAAGAATTTTGACTTAGTAGAAAGGGTTCAGAGAAGGGCTGTTAGGATGATTCTGGGAATGGAAGGGTTGACTTACAAAGATAGGTTCTGTTGTTTTAATTTGAGGAAAGTAGTGTAAGATATGACCTCTTATAAAGCTTACAATATTATCTGGTGAATTAATAGCATAAAGGCTTCTGATTTTTGTGTGCTGAATTCTAAAGATAATAGGATGAGAGGGCACAAGCTTAAGATTTGGAAAACACAGGTTAGTCTCCAGTAAAGATACATTTGTTTTTTAGCAGAGTGAATAGATTATGGAACGAATTGCTATTGGTGATAGTGGAGGATGGCACCTTACAAAAGTTTAAGAAGTGTATAGGTGATTTCTTGAAAGATATAGAGTGGATTTAAATGTTTAGTTTTTCTAAAAAGTGAGTATACAAGGACAGCCTTGAATAACCAAATGATCTTTTGTTCTCTTCAATGTTATGACTTCAACAGCTTCAACAAGGTAAGCTAATTTCATGGAAGAATTTTGGTTCTTTCAGATTAATACAGTTATAATTCATTATGGGTAATATCTTTATAGTACTGAAAGTTAAGACATTTCCAATGTCTTTATGTTCAGGGTTGTAATCATGAATAAGGTATATAATTTTTGTGTTTTATTCTATACCTGAAGTTCATTTTACTTTTTTTAATATTTGATAAAACGTTTAAAAATATTATTATTTAAAGTTTTAGTGTTTCGGTTATTCTTTTATTGTGATTATATGTTCTACATAATTTGCATTAAAACAGTTTATGATGTAGATACATTTTATTTGAAGCTTATGTTAAACATTACAGTTTATTTTTCTGTCCTCTGTTTTTCCACCAGGTTTTTTATGGTTTCACTAGTTTATTTCAGCTCTAATCACACATTTTATTTTTATTTTTTATTTTTATAGCAGTTGCTTCCTGGGTTTCTATTCTGCTTTCCCTGATTTCTTTAACAACTTCTGTTGTTTCCTGCCACTTTATAGTATGTTATTCCATTTTTCCTGATGAAAGTGCTTTGTTAAAGATTGGAAAAGTAGGGATGTTCTTTTGGAGATTCTTTGTTATTGCTTCACGTGTAGTTGCTCTCTCTCTTTTTGCATCTTACAGTCCAGTAGCCTTTTTTATTTTCTGTGTAATACACTGGCTTGTTATGACCCTATGGATATTCTCAATGAAGACAAACTTTTATGATAATAAGTGAGTATATATTTCTATTTATTTTTTTGTCTGAGCTGAAAAAATTCAAAATGTTAAAAGTGTGAAATTCCTCTGCTTTATACAGGTGTATTAATAAATATGGAGTGATAACTTTAACTGTTATTGAGAAAGGATATTTGCAGAATACACACCCATAACCTGGATACTAGTGTATATATATATATATTGTTACGTCTCTTTTCATTTGTTAATTTCCCGTATAATTTCTTTCTGATGAAACTTCAGCGATACAAGTCCTTTCTTAAATAAAACTAGTTTATTCTTTCTCAGTACAACTTTGCACTTAATTTCCATAGTCACTTTAACTTAAACACACGCTATACTTTACAATGATTCACGCACTTTAATTACGTCACTACCGCTCACTTGATTCAATTATCTGTCTCTATATCTCTCTTCAATCTGCTATTATTATCTCCCCTTTATTTGCTGGGCTTATATAATAAAATAGAAGGTGCCTGGAAAAGACTAGAGTTGCCAAGAAAAGTCATGATCCCTCTAGAAACTCGTGACATATTACCAGTATCATGTGACTTCCTCTGTCATAACAATATATATATATATATATATATATATATATATAT